GTATTATTAAATTATTAAATAGTAATATCTAATCTAACAGGTACAGGCCACCAAAACCTGAGGTAGGTATGTATGTATCTAAGGATATAATGTTAGAAAAAATGCATTTTTATGTTTAGTTTAGTGGAAAGACTTGAGAAGTGATTTAAAAAATAAAAAATATATATAAATAAAATATATTTATATTTTATATAATTTCGCACCCTTCCTCTCTTTTTCTTTTCAATATTAAAATCTTGACTTGCGACTAACTTGGTGCCGCCTTGTTCCGAATCAACATCACATCACAACAACACTCAGAATTGGTCAATTTAATATGATCCATGTTGTGCCCCCACAGAAATAAAAATAAAAACAGAAACATAGAGGTTGACTTTGGAGGATGTAACGTAACCAACCATGCACAAAAGAAAGGCTTGTGTTATTTTGATATATAGTACGGGAAGGAAAAAAGAAATAATAAAAAGAAAAAATGAGAGAATGTTAAAGGAGGAAAATAGACATTGTAGGTGCATCCTATTCTCACAGTTTTATTTTTTCCTTAAGAAAAATCTTGTGCTAATTAGAAGAAGTTAATCAACTTCTAAGGTGGAATATAATATTCTCACAAAGCGATGTGAGATGCATCCACACACATAATTAAATTACAATAAAATATTAACAACGTAATTAATACTAATAGTTTAAAAAGTATTTAATTAATATATAATAATAGTTTAGTTATTTGGGAATGTGACTGGGCAATGGATTGGCAGCTGGGAGATTGCCAAAGAACAATGGAATATCATGGACAGGGAACTCCGGGCTGCAGGATGGATCCACATTGAGTGACGTTAAAGGAGGACTGGTGTGGGAGGCTACTACGACGGTGGAGACAATACCAAGTACCATTTTCCCATGTCATTTGCCATGACAATGTTGAGTTGGAGTGTCATCGAATACGAGCACAAGTACCGAGCCATCGGCGAGTACGACCACAGCCGAGACCTCATCAAATGGGGCACCGATTACTTACTCCTTACCTTCAACTCCTCCGCCTCCAAAATTGACAAGATTTATAGCCAGGTTGGGGGTTCTCGAAATGGTTCTACCACCACCCCTGATGACCATTACTGCTGGGAGAGGCCTGAAGACATGGACTATCCTCGCCCTGTCCAAACTGCAGTTTCAGGTCCTGACCTCAGCGGCGAAATGGCTGCTGCTCTTGCAGCCGCCTCCATAGTGTTTAGGGATGACAACAGCTACTCGAGCAAGCTGGTGAAAGGTGCGGCAACCGTGCTTGCCTTTGCGAGGGACAGGGGGAAGCGGACTCCCTATTCCCGAGGGAACCTGTACATAGATCCTTGCTACAACTCCACGGGATACTTTGATGAGTACATGTGGGGTGCAGCATGGTTGTATTACGCCACCGGGAATAACAGTTATGTTTCTCTGTGTTAGAATTTACCAATTTACTCCTCCACCTACCATCTCCACTAGCACCCACTTCACCTACCACCTCCACTACACTTCACCTACTACCTTCTTCTCTTCTATATATGAATCATTGTAAACAGAATAATATATCAGTGCAACATCTACATCAATTAATAATAATACATCAGTTATTTTAACATGGTATCAGAGCAAGGTTGAGAAGCTAGTAATTCTGCTTCACCGGCGGGCGGCAACCTCGCCTTGGCCGCCCGCCGGACCTCTACACATACCTTCACCCCGCTGCCAGAAAATCATAGCTGAACTCTTCTCTGCCTCACACATATTTGTTCATCAATGGTGACATCGAGCCACCATCGTCTCCTCCTCCAATTGTCAATTCTCCAACGCCAGGCTTTTCCTCACAGTCAGAGATTTGGAGTTTGTATTTTGAGAGGATACTGAGATCTGCATCTAATCCACCTTCCCGGCTATGACGACGACGGCGTCACCGACGACCATGAACCCATCATCAACATCGTCCCCAATCGCAGTCTCCGACGGAGACAGTTTCCTTCTCGACCCTAATTCCCAAATTGGGAGTGCCTCTCCCATCATCAACATCGTCCCCAATCGCAGTCTCCGACGGAGACAGTTTCCTTCTCGACCCTAATTCCCAAATTGGGAGTGCCTCTCCCATCATCAACATCGTCCCCAATCGCAGTCTCCGACGGAGACAGTTTCCTTCTCGACCCTAATTCCCAAATTGGGAGTGCCTCTCCCATCATCAACATCGTCCCCAATCGCAGTCTCCGACGGAGACAGTTTCCTTCTCGACCCTAATTCCCAAATTGGGAGTGCCTCTCCCATCATCAACATCGTCCCCAATCGCAGTCTCCGACGGAGACAGTTTCCTTCTCGACCCTAATTCCCAAATTGGGAGTGCCTCTCCCATCATCAACATCGTCCCCAATCGCAGTCTCCGACGGAGACAGTTTCCTTCTCGACCCTAATTCCCAAATTGGGAGTGCCTCTCCCATCATCAACATCGTCCCCAATCCGCCACTTTCATCTCGTCGGACTTCCTTTCCTGACTCTACACCCGTAACACTTGATACTTTCCTGTTCTTTCAATCACCGGCCAGCTTTATCAATCCCTTTGTTTCAACCTCAAATAGGTTTCTATCTTCACACCTATTTGAGTTTGAGGGGGGTTATACATGTGTCATGGTGAGCATGGTTACACACCATGGGAACCACTCAAGCCACCCCATGGCGCACTCCCTAAGTCGCCTCCTCAAATAGGTTTCTATCTTCACACCTATTTGAGTTTGAGGGGGGGTTATACACAGTATCATGTATAAGTCGCTCATGGCGCACTCCCTAAGTCGCCCCCTTGGTGCACCACCACAACCTCTGCTACAACGGTCCGACATGACCCCATAAACTGTCCCGACATTTGATTCCGGTTAGCATCTACAACGGTCCGACATGACCCCATAAACTGTCCCGACATTTGATTCCGGTTAGCATCTACAACGGTCCGACATGACCCCATAAACTGTCCCGACATTTGATTCCGGTTAGCATCTACAACGGTCCGACATGACCCCATAAACTGTCCCGACATTTGATTCCGGTTAGCATCTACAACGGTCCGACATGACCCCATAAACTGTCCCGACATTTGATTCCGGTTAGCATACAGTTGGTTAGAATTTACTCTCTCCAAACTCAAGTTGGTTAGTTCCTATCCTCCTTGAGTTTGCGGGGGCTGTTAGAATTTACCAATTTACTCCTCCACCTACCATCTCCACTAGCACCCACTTCACCTACCACCTCCACTACACTTCACCTACTACCTTCTTCTCTTCTATATATGAATCATTGTAAACAGAATAATATATCAGTACAACATCTACATCAATTAATAATAATACATCAGTTATTTTAACACTCTGGCAACCAACCCGGGCTTGCCTCAGAACTCCAAGGCATTCTTCATGATTCCTGACTTGAGCGTGTTGAGTTGGGACAACAAACTACCCGCGGCCATGCTGTTGCTTACCAGGCTCAGGATACTCATAAACCCAGGCTACCCTTATGAGGACATGCTCCGCAGCTATCAGAACGTCACCAGCCTTACCATGTGTTCTTATCTTCAAACATATCTTGTCTTCAACTGGACTCGAGGTACGTACATGTATGTATTTTCTTCAAATTAATACTATATATATATATACATATATTAAAACTTCTTATTTAGAAAGACTTTTTTCAAATATAATAATAATAATAATAATATTGTTATTATTATTAATTGCATGCAGGAGGACTGATCCAACTGAACCATGGGGGAGGAGAGCCTCTACAGTACGTGGCGAATGCAGCCTTCTTGGCATCACTATATGTTGATTATATGAATGCAACTGGTGTTCCAGGATGGTATTGTGGAACCTCTTTTATCACCTTGGATGTTCTCCGCACATTTGCAACCTCCCAGGTTAATTAATTAGGCTCCCTTCCCCTATTTCTTTCTTTCTTTCTGAAGATGATGATCATCATCTTATTAAATGAGTAATTGAATTGAATAGTGTTGTGCTATTGTATGAACAGATTGATTATATTCTAGGTGCGAATCCCATGAACATGAGCTACGTGGTGGGGTATGGGAACAAGTACCCGAAACATGTGAATCACCGTGGGGTTTCCATACCACATGACAAGAACAAATACTCTTGCACAGGTGGCTGGAAGTGGCGTGACTCCCGCAACCCCAATCCTAACACCATTACAGGAGCCATGGTTGGAGGCCCTGACCGCTTCGACAGATTCCAGGATATCCGCACCAATTTCAGCTACACTCAACCTACAATGGCTGGTAATGCCGGTTTGGTCGCTGCACTTGTCTCCCTCACTGCCTCTGGTGGCTATGGCATTGACAAGAACACCATGTTTTCAGCAGTTCCACCACTGCACCCCCTGCGCCCACCACCACCGCCGCCATGGAAGCCCTGAAAATTCATTCCCAACGTATACCACTAGTCTATATACCTATCCTCCTCTGGCCTGAGCGTCTTCATAAAGTTCATTGTCTTAAATTTTATTTTATTTTCATTTTTTTTCCGTTTCAACTATTTGTGCTCTTGAATCATACTCTGGATTTACCTGCTCTCCTGGGCACATCTCATTTACGGCCCATCACTTGTTTTCTTTAAAAAAAATTATAAATAATATGGAATATTACGTATAATGATTTATATTTATTAAAAATTATAAGATATAAGATAAAAATAAACGAGTACAAATTAATATTAAGTATAATATTTTAGTATTTTAATTTTATTATAATGAAAAAAATTAAATTATATATGTTATATATATATAAATATATTTAATAAATATAATTGAGACGGGAGTCGGGTAAAATAGGATAGGGGAAGAAAAATCTATCCCCGCCTCACTTTCTCATCAAGGCGGGGAAAACCCATGCGGAGTGGAACAAGGACGGGAAAATGACCATTCAGGACTCTTTTCAAGACTAATTCAAGATAATTTCAGTGAGAATATATATCTCTCTCCATATATATAGTAAAACTAAAATAAACTAAATATTAGGTAAGAGAGAGAAGAATTATGTAGGCATTTCACAGATACAATGATCTTTGAGTACTACATGATAAATTGAGGGCGTATAAATTAATCAGCCTTTCCTCATCTGTAGTGCAAGATAGAACAAATGCATTGCAAACAGACATCACTCAAAAAGGAAAAACAAAGATTACATGGCTCAAAAAGCCTAGAACATCAGAGACAGAGAGCTGCCTGACTTTATCAGGAGACTCGTTATGGTTGTGGATATTATTTGGTGCAGATAGGACATGGTTGAATACGATAGCATAATTCCAATGCAGTTGAAATCATCTTCAGCTTTATTGCATATAACAGGAACCTGGGTCTTGTGGGGCAACTCGACCAGGTCCAGCTAATGGAGCAGCAGCAACTCCTCTCTGATTCAGCAAACACCTAAAGTGCGCTAACCTTCCAGTGATTTGCCGAGGATCCTTTGCAAGGTTGTCATAAGGTGACCAGAGCCTCTCTTCATCCAGGGAAAAAATAAGAGGTTATATGCAAAACAATAACCAAAAAATAAATAAAACTTTCAGAAGACATCCGCAAAAATAACTTCTAAAAAATGTCTTTTGACAATTGAAATTCATTACCGGAAACATCATATCCTGGTAAAATATATTATTTTTATCAAATTTATCCATTTTCTACTTCCCCTTTAATATCCTCCTTTCTCCTTCAATTTTTTCTATCCTAAACCTAAAAACTTCTTAGGAATAGAAAATTGTATAATTTAAATGTCAGACCCCATATTTTTCAGTGAATGATGGAAATATATTAAAAGATTTATGGGGACTATTTCCTCCTATCATTCAGAACTTTGATAATGAGATCAATGGTCCAATCTGGTCATTACTTATGAAGCTCGAAGGTGTCACTGAATACCCCCATCACATGAATAACCTAAGTTTCTATATTCATCGCATGTGCATCACTGCAGAACAGAATTTAACTTTCAGTTTAATGAAAAGATTACCAGCAGCTGCTGCAGCACGTGGCCATATTGTTTGTTCAATATCAGATCCGTCAATCTGTTCACCCCACATGCATACCTCACCTCCAATAACCAATTCTTGTTGCTTGGGGTTTGTGATATTTGTGAGTGGTTCATTCATATAGACTTCTGGCCATGTGGTATCCAAATGATCCAAATACCACTTATCTTGGTTGCTTACAATGCACCTCAATCCAGCTGCAACCACTCGCTCTGCAACGCCACCCCCAAGCCTGCCACACACACAGTAAGCAAATTGTGAACAATATAGCAGCACCAGACTCAATGTGCTTCTACCTGATATCTCAGGGCAGAAGAAATAATGTAGTAAAGCAATTAATATTACCCAATCCATAATGCAATATCATATTTCCTTTAAATAGTTCCATAAGAATGCACAACAGATTTCTACCCAAATTTCAATAGCTCTGACAATAATCATACACAGGAGACATGATCTGATTATTGTAGATAGTTTTCATTTGAACTCAACAATCATGTTCATTGCTGGTTCTTCTTCTACTATCAAAGAGTTAGTTGATTTCTCCCCCTCTCATAGCTTTGGACAATGTTTTCCTCGTTCACCTTTTCTATTTATCATTGCAGAAGGTATTTAGTTGTGAACACTCCAACCCCCAACAGGATGCCTCTGCTTATTTTCAAAAGGTTTCAGATAACGTGCCATTTCCCCAAACATCAGGGACATAGGTGATATTAACAGATTCTCAAATGCGAACAATAAGATACCATTTTTTGTAAAGCCACCTCTCTACATTTGAGAAAAAGAACTCACTGAGGCTAATGCCTGAAAACTAAAAAGCAACTGAAGAACATGGATCTAATCCAATTGAGTTCACATCCAGTTACCCTCTCCACAGGGAAAGATATACAGGTGCTGCTTTGCCTTTAGTGCTAATATAAGTTCCAACTCTCGGAGCCCACCTACAACCCTAAGATATACCTAATTGTCCCACTACTTTAACAACAATAGTTAGAATAGGATGCACAATTAAACTATTTTAACAACAATAGTTAGATGGCATGGACGTCTTTAGGGCATACCAGTTGTGCACCACAGTTTTCCGGCTCAATTTATCTCCAAAGTTGTTGAAGGTCTCTTCCCTGCAATTCTTTTGTGAGCATAATTTACACACAAAACACAAAATAGAACACAAAATCTCAAAACTAAGGCTCCGTTTGGTTTAAATTTTGAAAAGAGTTTTGAGTTTTGAGTTGTGTTTTGAAAGATAAGTTGTTGAAAGAATTTTGAAATTTGAAAATTTGTTTAGTTATGAGTTTTAAAAATAATTTTAGGATGATTTGTAGTTTTATTTTGATTAATTATTCGTTCACCAAATGTATTTAGCCCGAATTTGCCCGAATGACTCATTCAAGCGAATTCAGGCTAAATAAATTTGGTGGATGGCGGTGCTTTTTTTTATTTTTATTTTTTTTAGTTGAATAGATGTGTATGAGAAAAAATTTGATTGATTGATGTGTAAAATGTGAGAGAATGAGAGAAGAGAGAAGAGAGATAAGAGAGAAAAAATGACTGATTTATTTATTAATAATATATAAAATTAAAAAAAAAAAAGAGAACGAGTGAGGAGAGAGAAAAAATAATTTTGAAAAGAGTTTTGAAAATTTGTTAACCAAACATGTTTTTTGATTTTTTGATTCAAATGTTAATTTAAAAACTAAATCAAACAGTACCTAAGATTTTTACCAGTTGATAATTTCATATCCATATGACAATGCTATTTTCTGAGCCCGCAGGACAAAGTACTGATAAGCTTCGGATTCATTCAGAGCATGCTTCTGTAACCTGAAAATCAGAGAGTTGGTTTTTGTAGATGTGTGAGAATGGTTTTCCCAAGTGATCCTCGTGGAAACATTTTTCTCATGTAAACCTTTAACACCAGCAATATAACTTGACCACCAATGGTGGGTGCAGACAATCATTCACAAATTGTATGTTTGAGTAACCCAATGAGTAATGCTATTTAGCTTTTGGACACAAGGACAGGTCCAAATGGATTTACAGAGCTAAGAATGACTAGCATAGTACTGTAAATCAAGTGTACGAGGTCTGAAAACGGAGTACAAGAATTTGTATCACTGAAGAGGCAAGAAAATGTAGATACTAAGCTGGAGGGAAGGGGATTAGCTGTCTGGGTGAGAGCAGGGCTAGCAAATCACAAAAGGATATGGCGGTAGTCAAAGAGGCAAAGACGACTCCTTTCCCAAATAATCTCTTTCGAGTTGTGGGAATTGTATCATAGTTATAGGCATTCTTGGCTCACGAGGAGGTCAAATAGTCAATAGGGTGATGTCATGTGTCTCAAGGATCACATGGGAATATTCCTTCCCCTAACTGCTAAGTCGTGGTGAGTAGGTACTTCATAAGTCCCTCAGATTGACCTTCTCGAGAAGACTACTTGGGCAATCCCCTACTCTTAGCCACCAAGCCACCTGATCCCCAATGTCCCAGTATGTGTCATAGTATAGTCTTGTACCAACCACACTATGGCCCCACAACAAACTTGAGGGGCTTCCTGAGTCCTACCATCTCAACCGAGGCAGACTCACTTTGTCGGGGTGATTTCATCTATGAGGAGGTATTTTTTCCTTTCAGATCTCACTCTCGCAATCTTCAAGCAAGCCATGATTTTGACATGCCCCTGACACTTCTGATTGTCACAAGCCCTTTGTCATTAGTTCTAGGAGGATTGTGTTCTTAAGGGGTTCCCCATTAGGTTCTAAAAATTACAGATTCCCCCTCAAGTTAGTATTTGTTGGTTAACAGAAGTAACAAAATAATTGAAATTAAATATTTGCTAAAGGTTTTTTTTATAAAAAAAAATTCTTGTGCTAATTAAGTAAACAAATAATTTGATAAAGGAAGCTAGAAATATAGAAGTCTGAATTTCTTTCTAATGATGATAGTTTGACATTTATGTGTGTGCATGTGTTGGTGCGAGAAACAGAGGATGATGAAGGGAAGAGGCTGAAAGAGATTGGGAAATGAAAAAGGAGTGAAAAAATTAAAAAGAAATAGTACTTTTTAAAACTGGTATTTCAAAAAATAAAAATTGCTGACATCACACAATCCATTCATTTAGCTTAACAGTTGACTAACAGAAGGGGGCATTTTTAATGCAATTGGAAACTTCATGGGGCAGGGGGAAATTCTATTTCTACACACCCTTTTGTCTCTGTGTACACATTTAATGAAAGACAATTTTAATGACAATTTTACCATAAAGCAAAATGACCATAATGGACATCAACACACTAAATATGAAATCCAAGTTTTCTCTGTACACATCTTTTAAAACAACAATTCTCAGTGCACATCTTTTGGAAAAACAAAAAATTGCAACCTAGTTCCTCCATTGTTTCTCACTTCCTCTATTGTCCTCCATTGCTTGCTACACTCCATTGTTACACTTTGTTGTCCTCCATTGCTTGCATAAAATACTCTGAATTACTCTCTAGGTTCATACTCCGTTGTTTATACCATTTTCCCATTAGAATCCACCATCATTCTTGATTTTATTGATGGAAGATTTGCAAAATATAAAAAATTCGGAAGTAAAAAACCGAATAAATGTAAAAAATTCGGAAATTAAGTACAGAAAAACTATAAACAATTCGAAGGTACAGAACCGAAAACCTATAACCGATTTGGAAGTATAGAATCGAAATGTTCAAAAAAAATCAGAAGTAAACAACCGAATAAGCCTATTTTATTTGGAAAACCAATACCGAATGAGCAAAACCAATTTTATTCGGAAAAAATCAACCGATTATCGAAAATGAGAGATAGATGCACATTACTTACGAAATGGAAGGAAGATATGAAATGGAAAAAACCAAATTTGTTCTAATAACTACGAAATGGGAGGGGGATACACATTAATTACCTTCAACAATGCAATGGAGCTCAATATAGGTCTTCAATGGAGTTGTGGTTTGCTGGAACAGTCACCGTGGGTGGGTGGTGTGTGGAAAAGTAATGTGTGGGTCTCTGAAGGGTTTGAAGGTGTGTGCAAAACCTATTTAGATGGTGTGTGTAAAAGATGTAAGTTAGGGGTATAATTAGAACATGTGGTGTGTGGAATGAGAATAACAACATATAACCAAATTTATAAGTGTGTGAACTGAGATATGATGTGCACAAAGATGGAAGGGTGTGTGAAAATAGAATTTCCCTAGGGTAGGAGGTAATTTCTAGAATCTCAAGGTGTCAAATGTATTTTTCAAAAACCTTACGAGAGCTAATTGTAATTTACCTGATTTATAAATACGGTTCAAGGAAGAAACAAAAGAAAATCCAACAAAATGGGAGGGCTTGCTTTGAATTTCTCCTACTTGGTCAAATTTGACGCTCATTTTTCACCTACAAGGTCAAATACCTATCTAAGGTAGTAAAGATCACAAACAGATCAATACGCAGAGCACCATTCATTTTTGGTAAATGTTTTCAGTTAGCTTAGAACTGGAACAATTGGTATGCATTTAACAAAGATAGTAAGACGCAAGTAAAAATTCATTAGTGCCTAAATGTACAACAAATGCTTGAATTTTCATGAAAACATTCATACGTGTGAAATCGTGAAACAAGACATGGTTGGATACAAAAAATAAGCCTGCAAAATTTAGAGCATGACACCCACCCAATTTAGAGAACAGGTGTGGAGTTATACTAAATTTATTTGGTTCTTTAATTTGCTTTTGCATTTGTATGCAGGCTGCATCTCTTGATGCTTTTTTCAATAAAATTTTACTTGTACTAAAAACAAACAAACAAATTGTGCCAGAACATTGCCAAAACAGTGCAAGGAAATCAAGAACTACATTAATGTCAATAGCTAATACTCCACACACCTCCTCCAAATGCAATCCACCCGCCCCTCCACACCAATAAAATAATAAATGAAAAAGAAGAAAGATATTAATTGAATAGTTCTCGTACATATAAACATGATGCAACTTTTTTGACTTCCACAAGAATTCTTTTTTTGGGTAAGTATTCCACAAGAATTCTATTTATGCTAAAAACATCTTTAGGGGTGGAAGTAAGAAACTTAGTGAACAATAGGTATGTAATAACGTAAACATAAAAATTTTGGTTATAAAAAAGAGAAATAAGTAAGATTTTAGGATTGTTACCATTTTTTCACATGAGGAGTTATAGCCCAGCAACCTGAAATTAATAGTTCAATTGAGTGTCTGAGTAATCATCATTAAATTATCAAGTGCCATTTGAAAATGCTGAAGAGAAACATCGATGTTAAGTTAAATGTATTCTACCAATGTACTCAGGTATTGACAAACAACTCATAGAAAAAAGTGTGCATGTTAAAAAGAGGACACAAACACATTCATTGATATGACACATTGATCATCTGTATCAAGTGAACATTGATCTTCTGGAAATTCGAGGTGATGCACAGTATGCATCTTTTATATTCACTCATAATGGTTCGTGCAATCATATTGACCAATAAGATTTCTCTCTCTGATGTTAAAGTTGTCCACGTAAATGACTGAACTTTGCACTTTCATGTAGGAAGATTGTGAGGAACACTCTCCTACAAGTAGTAAGCCCAAAATGAATGCAATTTGGTAGCATACGGCTTTATTTAGCGCTGATTACAGCTTCTTTTTTTTGGTGATTAGGAGGTTGGTAAAATATTTGGTCCCTTAGGGTTCATGTCAGATAATATAAAGGTAGGCTCTTTACGGGGAAAATGAGATTTGGGGGGCTGTTTTGGGCTATTATGGCCTTTTCTATTTCATGAATTCTGTTTGAAATTAACAATAGATTGCATAGTATGATGAACAGTAAATCATATAAAAAATATTGAACTCACTGGTGTCAACTTCATCGCCTCCCAAGTGAACAAATTTAAATTTGAAGATCTTACTGAAATCTGCAACGAGAACTTTCAAGGATGTTAATTATTTTCTTATGTTGTCATTAAAAAAAATGTAATAAGTTTCTGTAAGTAAACATATAATTTTACCTGAAAGAATCCCATCTATTACTTTGAAGGTAAATTCATTACTGACATCAAGTGGCTGCTGACAATCCTTTGACGGCCATAAGGAAGGATAACCAGTCCCCCTAAAGATAATTATAAAAAAATAAAAAATAAATTACTAGCCACTTGGATGAACTTGTGCAAAGCCATCAAGGAAACTGTTAGGTTATGTGCTTGAGGGTGATAGTGTCATTGTAATTATTCCCTTATTATCATAAATACATGTGTTTAGAGAGGTAAGAAACCTAATTAGGTTTTGTGCCTCCTTCCAGCAATTCTCTTCTCTCTCTCTTTCTCTCTCTCTCTCTCAACTCTTATGTTCCAATTTTAACATCGTATCATAGCAACAATCTTATTTTTATTTTTCTTTTTATTTCTTAATTTATGGGGGTTTGTTCTTGTTTTTTTCCCCTTGTTCTTGATTGATAATGTAAAAAAAAAAACTACCACTATGGTTGACTAGGGCAGGAGAATCACCAAAAAAAAATTCCAAAATTTTTGCTTTTTAGTTGCCTATTTTTTCGATTTTACTTTTTTTTTAAGAAAAATAGGCCTATTTTTCGATTGCTTCATTCTAGTGGTATTTGGTTCGATTCAATAGTTGGGTCCCTACTATAAGTGTCGACCACATGCTTGGTGGCGTTAGATGGTTTTTTATTTTTATTTTCGCTTCCATGTGCCTCGGTCTACGTTACAAGAACTTGAGTGTGGATATCGGGTGCAGGTGCGGGTGCGGGTGTGGGTGCGGGTGCATATCTAGGGGTCGGACACTTCAAAATTAAAAATTGAGGATACATCGATATGGATCCAGAGTTAGATACACATAAGGGGATACACTAATTGTTATTTTTTAAATATATTTATTATATAAAAATGAGTTAAATAGTTATTTTTTAAATATATTCATTTTCATAAGGGATCCGAGCGGCTTTTTTTTATTAACTCCGCCGGGGTTGTTAACAACTCCGCCGGTCCCAAGCCCGGGTTAAGGAGGAGGGTTGTGTGTTAGGTAGCCGACAGCCAACACGTAAAAAAGCCGCTCGGATCCCTTATGAAAATGAATCCTACTTTGAATCGTTTAAATGCTAGGTCGTTCCCCTCAAGTGACGCGTTGCGCCTGCCTCCGGGTGTTTCGAAAAGTGAGCAAGGGGCGCCGCATCGACGCCTGGGTGCGGTGAAAAATGGGCAAAGGTTTCCGCATTTTTCTGGACGAGCGCGGGTAAAGAAGCTAGTCCAAGACTATAGGTTTAGGATAGCCACTTGGAACATAGGAACCTTAACTGGTAGGACGATGGAATTGGTAGATGTTATGATTAGGAGGAGAGTTAGTATAGCTTGCATACAAGAAACTAAGTGGACGGGAGAGAAAGCTAGGGAAATAGAGGATACTGGTTTTAAACTTTATTATAGTGGTAAGGATAGACGCAGGAATGGGGTAGGAATCATAATTGCCAAGGGTCTTGTGGAAAGTGTGGTGGCGGTCATTAGGAAAGGAGATAGGATTATGCTAGTTAAATTAGTTATTGGAGGGAATATAGTGAACATTATTAGCGCTTACGCCCCTCAAGTAGGGTTAGATGATCAGACTAAGAGGGATTTTTGGGAGCACATGGATGAGATCTTACAGGAGATACCCGTAGGAGAGAACCTGGTTATAGGTGGAGATTTTAATGGCCATGTGGGCATAGATAAACTAGGTTATGAAAGGGTGCATGGTGGATACGATTTTGGTGACAGAAATGAGGCTGGAGAGAGAATCTTAGATTTTACGTTGGCTTCTGACCTGGTGATGGCCAATACTATGTATAAGAAGAGGAAGGAGCATTTGATAACCTTTAAGAGTGGATTAGTTAAGAGAAGGCCTCAAAACACACTTTCTACCACTGAAATTCCTCTGGAATTCAGTGGTGAAGAGGCCAAACAAAGGTGATCCAAAGGCCTAAAAGAGATGGCTCAAAACAAGGCCAAGTAAGGCACAAAAGGGGGTGAGCCACCCCTAGCACCAAAGAAGTCTTAAACAACCATTTTAAACGCTTAAATACAGAACTTTTTTCAGTTGAAAGAAAGGCCTAAATCAACATGCAAGGATGGCCAAAATGTGATACAAACAAATGCTAAAAAGGGGAAAATACTCACCCTTGAAGCTCAACTTCGAAACCAGCAAAATCTGAGGCCAAAGACCAACTTTCAGAGCTAAAATAACACTCCCAAGAACCTCAGCTCAAAGGTGGTGGTGTATCACTATGTGTTGTAGTGCAAAAGTGAAAGAAAAATGGACTTTAGAGCACAAACAAACACAATATAGAGAGAGAGAGATACAACTCTTCAAAATGTGCTGAACCTCTGTAAGGGAGGAAGAGCCTCTCTTTATATAGAGGAATGCAATGAGAAGCTTGTTAAACAAACTTGGCAAGGGCTTCATCCCTCTATATACATGTATGGAGGAGGGATGAGTGAAAACCAGCTGGCTCAAAAGATCTGGCGTGAAATCTGCTGAGACAAAGGGTTCTGCCGGCCATCAGCTGTGGCCGACAGTGCCTCATTGATGGCCAGCAGGCTTCATCAAAAGCAGGCAGGGGAAAGTGCATGGCCGGCAGTGCCTCAGGAGAAGCATGCTAAAAGGTCCAACACATGGTCCAAAAATGGGGCAAAAATGATACAGGGTTTGGAAAGCTCAAACTTGTGACGTTCCGTCGCGAAAGTCGAGTACTCGACGAGCAATCGAACTTGTTGTTGGATGTACCTACAAGCACAACCAAGTCTTGAGGATGGTCAAAAATGGGGTGTCTACAAAAATAAACGAAAAGATTTGTAAAAATTCACCTTTGGAGAAAAGGATGAATTTTTTGATTGTCAAACTTTCTTCTTTACACCCTCAGGTTATGGAGTATGTTTTTGAAATCTCAGTATGAAAATTCAAGTTTTAGCTTTACTGAAGTTTTGGGTTGTATATATCAATGGAGATCAATGAAAAAGGTAGGAAAGTGGAGGTTTATATCTCACTTTGTATTTTTCTCAATTTTGACAAAACAAACTCTTTCTTTGATCAAAGCTTAGACCTCTCTCTAATCCAAAAATTTCACACCCTTTCATAGCCCTAGTGGCCTTCTTATATAGGCAATTGAAGAAGGAACTCTTAGTGGAGAAGGTGGAAGGTGGAAGAGAATGTATAATGGAGGATAAAAAGAGATAACTTGACCCTTGCTTTATCTCTTTCTTTTTTGAAGAGCCAAGATCCTTTTGGTAGTGGAGATTGATGTGTATAAAATTTGGAATGAAGAAATATCTGAACAATGCATAGGTGGACAAAATTAGTTTTCGAACGGGTCTAAAATAATTTGGCCAAAACGGGTGAAGGTTGGGATTAAAACTTAAATCCGATTTTTCTGTTGAGAAATTCATAAAATATACATTCCAATTTTCATCATTAGGTGTTCGGAAGAAAGAACCCAAGTCTTAGGGCTACATTACATGGACTCAGGTGTGGGTACTAGGTGCGGGTGCGTATCTTGGGGTCGGACACTTTAAAACTAAAAATTGAGAATACGTGGATATGGATCCAAATGTGGATATGGGTACGGGGATACATTAAATAGTTATTTTAAAAATATATTTATTATATAAAGATGAGTTAAATATTTATTTTTTAAATATATTTATTATTTTTATATCTTATGTATTATTTTTTATTGATAATATTTTTAATTTATCTACATAATTTATTTTTTTATTTTGTAATTGACATATATATATTATAAATAAGAAAAATATAACAAATAAGGAATAATTAAATATGTTAAAATAAATAATAAATAAAAATTTGATGATTTATTTTATAGATTTTATTAGATTTTTTTTTTATTGTATAAGATTTAATTAGATTTATTATTATATAATAAATTATATGATTTATTTATTATATGTTAAAAAAGAGGAGGGGAGAGAGAGAGAGAGAGAGAGAGTTAGAGAGAGAAGAAGAAGAAGAAGAAGACGAGAAGACAGAGAGAGAGAGAAGAGAAAATTGTAGAAGATGAAGACAGAAAGAAGACGAGAAGACAGAGAAAGAAGAGGAGATCGACATAGATGCAGACAGAGAGAAGACGTCACAGAGACACAGATCGACACACAATGAAGTTGATCGACACAGACACATAGATCGACACAAATCGGCGACCAGGTTCTCACCTTGCTCTCTTCTCTTTCGTTTCTTCTGAATATAGTTGTATCCGTTTGTAAAGTGTTATATCCCGCACCCGTACCTATGTTGTGTCATGTCGACACAAGTACCTTCGAAATTCTTAAAGAGTCCGTTTAACGTAGGCTTCGGTTGATTTTTTTGGGTCTCCACTTGTGTGTTTTTGAATTTCTGCTCCAATGTGGGTATTTTTCTAGCCCTATTTTGTTGTTGTTGGGCTATCTTGTTTTTTTGGTTGTGCTAGCCCTGTTTTAGGCCATGGCCGATAATGGGTGTAAGATTAGAGAAGAGAAAGCGATAGGGAATGAGTTACCCTAAACCCATCACCCACACAGCCACCATCAATACACCACCCGACCACCATCTGCCATTACCCAACCTGTTCCAGGCCATGTTGGATCCAGCAAAAGACCTTTGGCTACTGTTTAGGGCCTGTTAAGCTCTTCTGACTCTTCTTTGAGTGGTTTCAGACCAGCTGACACCCATCCTAGGGTTTTTCGGCTCAAACCGACACCTATCTGGGTATCTTCAGGCTTCTTCCATGGTCTCATAGGTGCTTTGGACTTCCCTCTAGCCTTCTCTTGTGTGTTTCAAACTCTCTGTGATAACATCTAAGAGTTTCTCCACATCATATGTCCTAATAACATTGTGGTTGAACCCAAGACTGCTATTTTGATTAAAGTTTCACCGTTTTTTAATCATTTTTTTTATTCTTTGGGGTGGTAAATGGCCCCATTAATCTAAGTGTTATACTCCCATAGTGGTTTCTGTTTGAGATTGCTTGCCCATTTCATTCTCTCTTTCCATTATTGGGATTAGTGTTGTGTTTTTTAGTTAAGTTAGTAGCATAAATATGGCTGATCCATCTAGTGAATCCATTACTTCTCA